AATTGACTTTTATATACCTACTTATACTTATAGTTATAGCCACCTTGCCCCAGTCACTTGAAGTGAATTCTACGGGAGGAGGGGGACATTGAAAATCCCTGGATTTACTTGGTAAAAGCAAGAATTGAACCATGCATTACATGTATATGGAGAGCAGTTTTAAATATATTTTATCATGCAAATTCCTTGATTCCTTTGGCTTAGAATGGGTACACCCCCCAAAGGTGTTTATATATTTACAGGGTCCAAAGGTGTAAATATACACTGTCCAAGGTGTTTTAAAATATAAACAACGAAACAATGTATATAATTAAATTTTATTAAATAAAATGTGGAATATTTTACAAATTGCAATTATCATCCCAAAGTGTACAATTATCAATATAATTAGGACTTGTTCACATGAGTTTGACTCTGACCCAGCACCCTTGCCTAGCTCCCCTTGCCCGATCACAAGTAGAAAACCTCCAAAGAGGCAGGATTTTCTGGAATATTATTAGCAGTGAAATTGTTGCATATTTTCAACCATGCATTGTAACCTGATTTTAAAGCCTGTTTGAGCATCAAACATTGTGGCAATGACAAGATGGTCCAGCCATATGAATAAAATCTTAAAATATCATAAAAACAATGCAATTTAAGGCCAGACAGCCCAACTCCTGTGAACAGTCCTTTATTACACATTCGGCATTGAGGCATCAAAGTACAAGCATGCACATGGAATTACATACGAGTATGTGACATAAGCCCACCATTGCACAACTTTGTCTGCAACAATGCAAATACAATCAAGCTGGAAACGGATTTTATCAGTATTTTGATATATACATTATGGCTCATGTCTAAAGACACCTGCACTTTCATATTGAAATTTATTCTAATATCATCAAAACAAAACACATCAGAAAACTGTAACATCAGCCAAATGAGAAAATCACTTTTTTAACACAATTTATGGTAAAATGAAACATGTAATAGTATCTGAAACAAAACCAAATCACATATTATTCAAAAGTTGCAAACACTGTTGCATATTTAAATAATTAAACAAAATATCGTCGCATTTATAGAGTAGTGGTAACTAACTATAAATTTAATAGGCCAATTTAAACTCGACTATGAAGAATATCAAAAACCAAAGGTCATGTTTCAGTTTATAAACCCAGTTTAGTTTTATAAATATAAACATTAACGCTATACGAAGCCACGAAGCCAATGATTCAATGAAGGCAAATTTTGCCCTAATTTACCGCCGCCCCTAAATACTCTGTCAGAACCTCAGAGGTGTATTCTAGCACACAATTAATCTTCTCTCACAGTTTAAAACAAACAGTAATACTAACCTTCGACAAATTGTGCATAAATCTTATCGAATTTAACCATTATGCCACAGATTTTGCCAAAAATATTTCTTAGACGGACAAAGTAATATTATGGACACTCCTTGCGTGAAAATGTTAATTTATCCCGAGGTTTGAATAAATTAATCCAAGATTGCATTATTTGCATAATAATATACTTGTCATTGACCAATCAGAATACATAGAAGACCGGCCGGTGCCAGGGCCTTTTCCCGCCTTCCCAATGACAAAAAGGGAAAAGCCCTGGGAACGAGGTTGATGCATGCATTGCAAATTAATTGAAATTTGTTCCGCTAAAGTAACACAGAATGGAATGCATGAATATACATGTATAACGTTTTACGCATTCCAGGGCTCATTAGGGAGTTTAAAGCATTCAAATTCGAACATGCGGCACTAGCGCTTGACTTCAAAGGGTAGCCTTTTTTTTGGGACACACTGTAGAAGGGCCCTGGGGTGTGTTTTATTATTCCGGCTATAACATCTCAGCAAGTGGAGAATATTCTCGGTCAACTCAATCCAAATAAATCTACTGGTGTTGATAAAATAAACCCAAAGTTTGAACGTATAGCGGCACCTTCCTCGAGTATATAGCCAAATTGATAAATTACCGTATTTGTTATGGCCTTATGGGACATTCCCTGATCATTGGAAAGTTGCAAAGGTTACATCTTTGTTTAAAGGTGACAAAGCCAATGACCCTTCAAGTTTTGGACCAATATCGATACTCCCAGTCTGTCTAAAGCCTGGCGCACACGATGCGATTTCAGTCGGCCAATAAAAATCGTTTGACATACCGATATACATCGGTATACTCCGCCCACGATTACGGAAAAAATACGCTCCCTGAACTGTAGCCGCCATGTTGCCAAATAAATACAAGCACGTGATCACAGCATGAAATCGTATAATATCAAAACGTTTTGATGTTGTCCGATTAAAATCGAGCAACAAAAATCGGTTAAAAATGACACCGCACACACAACGATTTTGTTAGTTTTTATAGTCAAACGATTTTTATCGGCCGACTAAAATCGCATCGTGTGCGCCAGGCTTAAAGTTATCGAAAAACATGTTTATGATGCTATTTATGCTTACCTCTCTGAACCATAGATATCTTATATGCACTAGATAGCGCATCTCCTTTAGTAAAATTGAAGCCAAGAATATTCCAGCGGTTACCCCCATTTGAATAGATGGCGGCCATATGTTGCGGTGTTTCCCACTCGCTAATAAACGCTTAAAAAACAACAATAACTTTCATCGTTTGAATTGTTTAAAAATGTATTTGGAATAGGTTTAACTTGATGTTTAAGTTCGCTGTTTAAGAAATAGAAAACGTACCAATCTTCTCATTTCATGGGAATACCCTGAGCCTGCAATCATGGCTTCAATTTTTGAATTGCAGAATAATTAGATGCACTATCTAGTGTATATAAGATATCTATGCTCTGAACACGACTTAATTAAATTTTATTCAGGGCGATCAGGCTTTCGCAAAAATCATAGTACCGAAACAGCACGGATGAAATAAATCTTGTCGACAAGTTGTTAACAAATTTGGACAACAACAGAGTAAGTTCCTTGATATTAGTGGACTACTGCAAAGCTTTTGATACGATTGATCGTAATACAATTAGTGATGGTGTCGGTCTTAGTGGTGTCGGTCTTAGTTACAGAAAACAATTTATATCTCTAGACCAATCAATCCACAGAAACAACTATGAAATATGGCGTTCCCCACCTTTAATAATCTTTGTAACATTTATTAATGATCTTCCTTTGTACATGAACTCCAAAGCCAATGCAGATATATGAACGTTTATTATACAACTGTTGTGGCTTCTACTGGATTATAAGTACTATAGTTAAAACATGACCAGCCGTTCTTTATCTGATACACAAACACGAGAGTTTGTATATGAGATAAAGATCGGATGCGAATGTTTTAATGTACTTAAAAAACGACCCATCTTATGAGTTAATTGGCGAAGTAATTTTAAAAATAAACATTCTCTAGGGCAAGAAAATCAAAGCTGAAGTTTATGTAAATCAGGACAAATCTCTTTTCTTTTGAATTTGTTTCATGAATTATTAATGAGTATTTTAATTCCATTTCAAGTTTAGAAGTATCTTTAAATAAATGTGCTATAAAGATATTGGAAATTGGGCAATAGTGAACAAAACGCGGCCTTTGAATGAAGAAAAAAAACAAAGGTCATCACAATTACTGGGAAACGTTTGAGCAAGAAAATAAATCAACTTCCAACTGATATATTATTATATGGAAAGGAATTGATAATGTTGCATGATTGTGCTTTATTTTGGGGACTAAATTTGGATGGGAAACTGGCTTTTGAATAGTTTCATGTGGATAAAATTCGGCAAAAAGCTATCTCAGCTGCAGTCTTAAAGATAATTAGACATTGTTTGCCCTTACGTCGACGAAAGTTATATTAACTCGTATAATAACAATATGAACTTTAATATGTATTATAATATAAGTGGGATATAACGGAAAATTTGATTGGCTAATGCGCGTGCATTGTGACGCAATAATGCAGTGTGTTCCGTGGCACCGCCTTGTTCTTTGTGTGTTTTCCTCCCGCTTCATCTCTGCTTTTTAGCCAAAAATATAAACAAAACTATAAAACTTTTAAAATAAAAAATGTGTCAGAAAGCAGGAAGGAATAGACCAAAGGAAGAAAACAATATTATCTATAGTTCTATGTGTAAAAAACAGTATAAAAATTAACCGGCTGCCAATTCGTTGAATTTGTTTTTGTTTCGAAAAGAAAAAAGCGTGCAAAAATTAATAGTCGAGAAAAAACTTGAAAAAGATACAGGAATACCAAAAACATAGAAAAAGGCAACAAAAACTGAACATAAGTGATTTAGAAAGTACCTTCAATGCTTCTGATAAAAACTGCTAGATATATTTTCGGCGAAAGGCAAAAATTGGCAATAATTTCAAAAATTAAAACTGAGCAACACGACGAAACCTACGATTTAATGTCCTTCCTGGCAAATCCGGCAGCCCAAATGCTGAAAAACATTAGCAAATCAGTCTGTGTATCACTGGGATTTTCCCTCCAGAATTTTAAACCGTTTCTCCAAAATTTTAGCATCAAAATGTTCTCAAAATTTTGTCATTGTTTTTGACGTCACCGAGTACGTGTTAGGAGAATTCTTTTTAGTATATAAAATTGTTTACTACAGTATGTAAAATAAGTTCTTTGTATGTTTGCATGGCGATAAAACATATAATAGTTTTGTTTGTGGAGACACGACCTAAATTTATTACTGCAAAGCTTTCTATCCATAAGTCCGGATCTTCATCAGTACTAATAATATGATAATAATTCATATTATTAGCACTGATGAAGATCCGGGCTTACGGATCGAAAGCTTTGCAGTAATAAATTTACGTGGTGTTTCCACAAACAAAACTATTATATGTATGTAAAATCTTCTAGTTATATTATAAAATAAATAATAAAACACGTCTCGTGCGTTTATGGTGTGCTAATGCACTCGGGGAATGTTCGGAGAACACTCGAGAAGCGTGTAAAACACTCGGCTATGTCTCATGTTTTACACGCTTCTCCGTATTCTCCCAACATTTCCCGCGTACATTATCACGCCATAAACGCACTCGACTCGTTTTATGTTTCTTAAATAAAGAATGTATTAAGAAAAGTTCTGAAACTGAAGTTTCAAATGAGCAAATGTTCGTTCATCTTCAATTTGCAAATGTTTGTTCATCCTCAGTTCACCTTTTCAATGAACTGGAGTGGAATCCTTTTTATGAAGAGGCAAATAATAGAAGATGTACCCATGCTATAAGATGCAGTATACATTTGTTGTATATATTTGTTGTATATAACATAAAATGTTAATTTTATTTACATTTACAATGAAGAATTCAATTTTTCATTTACTGTACGAACGTTTTACATTTGTCATATTGCATTGACGACATTCATTAACTATATGCCGCAATACATGCATGGGCGCCGATTCCAACTTCAGCACCAATTGACTGCAGTGTAGTTTGAGTTTGGAATCTTCCAGTATATATTAAATTGTTTTTGTTTATATTATGGAGAAAATTTGTATTTGAAATCGCCGTGTGGTGGTCGATCAAGTTGGGGCTCCTCTGCAAATTTGGAGTGGAAAATTTGCCCCAATGGCTTCCACTGGCTGCACCTGCTGTAAATAATGATATATTTTATGATATATTATAGATAGACACAATTTTATTTATACAGGGTAATTATTTCAGTGTAAAAACACTGGTGGCAATGGAGCCCTAATGATATTTGTGTTTGTTATTACGGATATGAATTAACAGTCACACCACGAGATGCTTATCTTCATATCTTGCATCAGGTTTTCTTTCTTTTTGCTTGATTAAGATAACCAATCACATTAATTTGCACTGCGATGCATTTTCCTCCTCGTTTTTGAACTTTAAAATGTACTTTGGTTCCATCAGTGATCTGCCCACTACCGTCCAATACATCCTTTTTGCAAAAAGATAAATAGCCCAAATGAGAAAATGACCCGCTGATTATATACCCTCCGTCGTCTGATGTACTGTCCACAAAGCCTTCCTGAATGCCAGTTAATTGGTCCCATTTCTGGACGGATGCGGCTTGATTCTACAAAATAAAAACAAGAAAAGTATTAAGTTCTTTTTATGTTTGCATGGCGAAAAATATAATAGTTTTGTTTGTGGAAACACCACGTATTTCTCTTGTCTTGGATGCACGCGCGTTAATTGGAATCACTTCACTACGTTTGAAATGACGTGGTTGATGTGCCGTTTAAATAAATTTCAAATGACACTTTTGTATATAAAAAGAGCGTGTGAATTAAACAAGTCATATATTATTAGCACTGATGAAGATCCGGGCTTACGGATCGAAAGCTTTGCAGTAATAAATTTACGTGGTGTTTCCACAAAGAAAACAATTAAGAAAAGTATTGCCTGCATCAATTGTATGCTGAAATACCAATTCCCATGCAAACAAGATTTCTAATTCAAACACATCTTACTTCATCCAAAGAACATAACTCATGACGTTTGACCGATTATATCTATTTAAAATATATTATGGATTTAATATAACAGGAATGCATGTGCATCCATTTCAATTCAGACCTGTCAATCTGTTCCGTAAATTGTTCAAGCATTTATGCATGTGCGCAAGAGCTTCTGCTTATATATGATTAAGTCATGTTATTATTCATAGTGATATACACAACAGACAAAGTGAATTTAATCACTTTCTTAACTATAAACCATAAACGCCGGACTAAAATTGAATTCTGTACCATACAACTGCATTCAATTTCCCATACAATGGCATCAACACTTCTATCCCATTAACATACATGCATACCTGCACACGAATTTCATTTGCCTCGTGTCCTTTTTTAGTTTTGGTTATGTAAAACTGCACACGGTTACCAACATGTGGGAGTTGTCCTTTGTTCACAAGACTTCTGCGATGGAAGAAAATGTCCTTGCCGTAAGATTTGCTATCTGATGTGATAAACCCAAAATCTTGTCCGCTAGATAATCTTACAACAACACCTTCTTCCCAACGTTTTATATCAGGCATTTTTGTTTGGTTGACACTTCTCGTTTGGTTGATGCCGTCTTTTGGATGATCCTTTTCCCGGTGACTTGTGGATGGTGAAGAATGTTTCTTTGATTTACTATAAAAGACAATTTCACAAATTATTAGTTTTGCTTTATCTTTTTTAGATCGCGAGCAGTCCCTAGAGAGGAGGGACTGCCGACAACACATCAAGAAACGAAACACGCCCACTTTTCGCTCTTGTCAAGTTGACTACACGAAACACGCCCACTTTTCGCTCTTGTCAAGTTATATCCAATTAGCCTTTCTCACGATGACTAATATCCGCCATTTTTGGGTGGCATCAACCAAAGCAGACAATTAAAACAATGTGAAAAGTAACTTCTCAAACTAAACTAACCATTTACAAAGCAAATTTACCATCATTCGTCAAAAAAATTATAAAAACTCGCTGTTATGTGGACTTATCTCGCAGACCTCGGCTGATATGCCACCCAAAAGTGGCGGCGTGAGAAAGGCTAATTAAATCTATCCAATAGGAACCGTTAATGTCATGTTTATTTATAAAATCAACATTCAGTCTAGAAATTATTTATGGCATAAATAATGTATCAGATTTGATTGACAGGCGTATCGATTTCGACCAATGGGAATTCTGCGTTGTGTGGGCAACGCGTATTTGTTTCTTGATGTGTTGTCGGCAGTCCCTCCTTTCCTTTCGCATGCCCGGAAATCGAAACCCACGGCGGAAAGGAGGGACCGCTCGCAATCCATATCGTTTTCCCCGTGCGTGCTATTGTTTCCACTTGATTTGTTAATCAGGATGATCGGCAATGGTACAACTTCGAGCGAGACACAACTCAGTAAGAACTAACGAACTAGAAAGCTGCACGTGTTAACTGTGATGATGACGTCAACGTCACATACTGTATATAGACAACAATGCTTTGCGAGGACATAAGCTAGACCGCATGGCGAGCAGAGCATGGCGAGCTTGATATTATTGTATTTGAAAAACAACTTATAGTTAATAAAACTGGATATTACATTTGGCGACGAGGATCTTAAATATTGCTTACTATGGCTGCAAGAATAGACCTTCCATCGATGCTACAGTTTGCTCCTCATGCAGATTACAGCAGTTTAGCGACACCGTGGGAATAGGGGCTTAAACGATTTCACCTTTATCTTCGAGCGGGCAAAACCACCGATAAAACACAACAACAAGCCCTTCTTCTCTACATGGCTGGGCCCCAAGTACAAACAATATTTGAAACGCTAGCTGATACTGGACGTGACGATGACTTCAAAGCAGCGGTTGAAAAACTAACACAATATTTCATGCCGAAGAAAAACGTCGAGTGTGAGATTTATATATTTCGCCAAGCCCGACAAACGACTGACGAAACATTGGATCAGTACCACACGCGTCTTCGAAAGCTTGCTACAACATGCGAGTTTACCGATGCTGATCGAGAAATCAAAACACAAATAATACAAAGCTGCGTTTCTACGCGTCTTCAGAGAAAAGCGCTTCGTGATTCAACGCTTACTCTGAGTGCTTTACTCGCTGAAGGTCGTTCCTTCGAAGTAAGTGAAAAACAAGCTAAAGGCACCGAGAAATCCCTCGCAGCCATCAAGATCGACGAAAAACTCCCTACTGAAATCGACGATAGTGTGAATGCCATTCAACATCAACAACGACAACGCCAACAACCGCCGTACGCTCGTTGGGACACAGTGAAACGCAAGTGTTATTATTGCGGGTTACATTATCCCCACAAGAACAATAGCGCTGCCCAGCTTATGGCAAAGAATGCTCGTTTTGTCATAAGATGAATAATTTTGCAAAGGTTTGCAAAAGTAGTCAAAATCGAGATCAAAATAAATTTCCTCGACAGCCTCGCTCATCACGCCAATTTAACAACTCATCAATTAACACTGTTAATAGACAGCACACTAACGATGAAAGCAACTCATCCTCGGAAGATGAATACATCTACACAGTGAACACAAGCTCAGTAGTTACGTCCAAGGGCAATTTGACTGCCAAATTAAAGATCAATCGGACGAATTTTCGAGCATTCATCGACACCGGGGCGTCAACATTATAGACGAGACGACATTTCAACACTTATGTAAACAAAAACCTATTAAAATACATCGTTCAAAAGCACGAATATATGCGTATGCTGCACAATCGGCACTTCCTATGCTGGGAGTATTCGAAGAAATCATCGAGTCGAGGGCAAAGATGACCACCGCCAAATTTCATGTCGCAAAAGGGGACAATGGCAACTTACTTTGCTCAGAAACTGCAGCAGAACTCGGATTAATAACATTGAAGATACACAATGTAAACAAAGACAAACCGGAAGTAAACACAACTACAAAAGTAAACACAACTGTGAAAGTGGCAAACGAATTCACACCTGAGGCAGAAGCCACTGAATTCATTCAAAGTCTGACAAATGAGTACGAGGACTTGTTCAGAGGAATTGGGTGCCTGAAAAACTTCGAACTTAAGCTACACATAGACCATAACGTCAAGCCAGGTGCGCAACCAGAAAGGCGTATACTATTTCACATTCGGGAGAAAGTAACTCACGAACTGGACAAGTTAACAGAGCAAGATATCATCGAGCCCTGTTCTGGCCCAACTCCCTGGGTCTCGCCCCTAGTGGTAGTACCAAAACCGAAGAACCCAGAAGAAACAAGAATATGTGTACCCATGTATTATCCTCTATATACATAAATAATATATAAATAATATATATAACATAAATTCAACATAAATGATATTATAATTATAGCTTGATTCATTCTAATTATGTTATCGTAGATACAAATAAAAGTCTACTTACTCACGAAGTCTTGCCACTGCTGGTTCAACTACATCCTTTTCCTGATAATTTTAAATAGGGATACAAGTTAATTTGGTATTTATAATTATAGTACGTTGTCTCGTATACTGTCTCGGGTATTCAAGATAAATACTATAATGGAACGGAACACAACATGGTGACATCAATTTTCAGAACTGTTCTGACGACTCGATTAACAAAAAAAAGATATGTTAGTTTGTTTCTCCGGAAATCAATTTACAAACCTATTTTAATAGCAGTTTATATTTTGATACTGAACTGGTATATATTAACTGCATAAGCTTTTCTTTGTAATTCTGTATTCTAATATTGTTATAGTTGATTTATCTACAATCCGTGTTGCAAATATATGGCATAAAACGTTCACTTGAAATGAAATGGTTTTGGAACATTGCTTTTACTTTGTGATATCTTAAATTATTTATTTACAAGAGTTATGGTTTTTGATTGGCTAACAGCCAATGTCATATCAACCAAATAACTGATCAAATATGCAGTTTTTACGTAATATTCAACGGAGTGACATCATAACGTTGAATACGAAAAAATCTTATTAACAATCATATTGTACGTTATGACGTCATGACGTTGAATATGAAAAAGTTATATTTAACACTATGGCGTCATGCTGTGGAAATACAACTACGGAAACCAACCAATACAATATAGCGCCGACTTCGACCGCATTCTTAAAGGAAACAACTAATGTTAAAATATAAAGAAGAAATACAAAAAAAAAACTAGCTACGAAAAGTTTTGAAACGTTTTAACAAACTTATGAAAGAAAAAAGGAAATATTTCCTGCAAATGGGAAAAGGAACTAGTTATTATTTCAACGAAATAAACCCACGGCCACAGGTGCGGACGTCTTTTCATCTTTTAAACTAAAGAACTATTAAATTTTAATGAAACTTTTAGACAAAAAGAACTAAAGAGGCGCGCTTGTTGACTTCGCATTCATCTGCTTTTTCATGCGAGTTCTAAAGGATTTTTTTCTGATGTTTTATCTCTGCTCTTTCGCTTTTTTGGTATTAGTTCTTTAAAATTCTATATTTAAATCTGTATAATAATTCTGCATTTAAACTGAATTAGCAATTATAAATCTATTTTCTGCCCTGTAAACAATTGCTGAGATTTTTTTCGTGAAAATTTTATTTCAATTAAAGGAGTGTTTTCTCGTTCGTAAAACTCCAGCACTCGTAATTTTTGCCATTTTGTCAGTAGCACAGTAAGGCCTACTCTGGGGCGGTAAATCGCCTTAAATCGCCTAAAATCGCATTAAATCGCGGGTTAAAATTGTCGAATTTCGCTTAAATCGCCTAAAATCGCCAACATGCATTCTGTTTGATACATTCAGTCCATGTACTCAAGTTTATCAATTGCTGCTATTTTACGGGCAAATCATGTAATCCAGGTGCTTTGCAATCAAAAGTAATGCAACATGAATTA